TCATTGCCTGGGTACGTACACTGTGCGTTACATAGATCTACCCCTACGCACACTTCCGCAGTCGCTGAAGCGGGTGTTGTAGCGCGCATTGGTTTACGTCCGTCACGCTGCCAGAACCTGCGCCTCTGATCATCGTCATCGTCGTCGTCGTGCGTCGGTCGTCGTCGTCGTCATCATCATCATTATATCGTCGTCAATCGTTCATTAGCACAGCAGTAGGAGAAGCAGTATTTTGCCGGTTTCACGCAGCGAGCAGTCATCTGCTGTATAGTCATCATCACTCGCGTAATCATTCATCGTCATCATCAATCTGTCGTCACCCACCACACCACCACGCCAGTCATCATCATCATCATCATCATCGGTCCAGCACACACACGTCATAATCATCATCATCAGCTTCTCTCCTCATACATCATCACCCGCCATCACGCTCCGTCGTCGTCGTTACGTCGGTCGTCGTCGTCGTCGTCGTTGTCTGAGCCCCCGCTTCGCATCCACAGGTGGGCAGCCAGCGCACGCCCAGCAGCCCTACATGGGAAGCTTTCTCGGTAGGTTTCCTCATCCGATGACATAGCAACGAGGTTTCAGGGCGACGTGTACGCGCTCAACACGAGAACACTGCTCATCAAGGGCTTTAGCTACGACGGCCAGCGCCGGTAAGCAATGACTCCCGGTAATCACGTCGCCAGGCGCGGTGATGTTTTGAGAGCAATAGGAGCGATGTGTTTAGTTCACGCTTGTTCTCTCTCTCTCTTCTCTCTCTCTCTCTCTCTCGTCTCTGCGCTCTCTCTCTCGTCCACTCCTTGCCCTCCGCCCGCCCCCTCTCTCTCTCTCCTCTCTCCTCTCTCCTCCACTCTTGCCCTCTCTCTCTCTCTTCTCGCGCACCTCATTTCTCTCTCACTCTCTCTCTCTCTCGGCGGCACTCCTCTTTCTCTCTCAGCTCTCTCTCTCCTCTCTTTCTCCCCTCCCTGTCCCTCTCGCCTCTCTCTCTCTCTCTCTCGCAACTTCTCTTTCTTCTCCACTCTCTCGTCACCTCTCTCTCGCCTCTCTCTGCTCTCTCTCGTCGCACTCGTCTTTCTCTCTTCCTCTTCTCTCTCCCTCTCTCCTCTTTCTCGTCTTTCTCTCTCTCTACTCTCTCGTTCTCTTCTTCTCTCTACACACAGGTTATTTCTCGTCGCGGTTGTCTTGATTCGCTCTCACGCTTTTCTTACTCGCTGTCTTCTCTCGCCTGTATCTTCGCGTCACCAATATCTCTCTGTGATCGATTGCCTTGTCTCTCGTTCATCTCGCGCTCTATTCTCGTTTGGCTTTTGTTCTCGTTCGCTCGCGCGTGTCTAACCATGTACACGCCGCACACGCACAGCACACCGGCCATCACGCACACGCACACGCAACCCACGCGCACGCAGCGACGCCACCCGACGCACACGCACACACACTACACCACACGCACACGCACACGCACACGCACAGACACACGCACTACACACACACACATAACGCACACGCCACACACACACAGGAGGCGACAAACAACACACACATACTACGATCAGCGCGGCCCACGCAACGCCACACCGCACACACGCACACGCACACACACACACGCCAACACCACAACACAACACACATACACGCACGCGCACAAGCACAGCACACGCCACGCGCACAACGCACACGGCACACACGCACGCACAGACACACCACCGCACACACACACACGCGCGCGCACGCCACGCCAGCGCACACACACCCACACACACACGACATACACGCACGCGCTCGACCACACAACACATACCACGCACGCCGCTCACGCACGCACACTACGCACACGACCCACACCACACACACACACGACATACGCGCACGCGCCACGCACCACGCACACACGCACACGCCACAGACACAGCACACACATCAGCACACAGACGCGCGCGCACGCACCTGCCGCAACACACACATGAACACAACACACACGACAACCACACACACACACACACACAAAACAACCAAAACCCACACACACAGTATTTTTGCATTGCTTCTAGCATCTCCACGGCGGCGCCTGGGTTCTCATGTCTGGACATTTATTATAAGCAAAATTAGTCAATCGCATGAGCTTTTGAAAACTCGAACTTCTACTTCGCTACATTGCATGTAAATTTCTTTCACCTATTAGGTTGATATAGTAAAATTCACAGCTACGAAAAGTAGTGGACGCCTGTTATCTGCAGAAATTCTCATTTCCATTAGGATCAAACAGTATTCCAATGCTGTTGTCCGCAGACGCGTTCTTCTGGGCGGGATCACAAGGTTCGGTTCCTACAACGGAGGTTTCGTCGTTCCTGACGAGAGCGCAGGTAGGTGCTCATCAGGCACCGGACAGCAACACAGTACATGTAACACAGCTAGCAGTGGCTTCTTATACCTTTTTTACTCCGCCACGGAGTGGGAGTGGAGTAATGTAATCGCGTCTCGTAGTGTGTGTGGTGTGTGTGTGCTGTGTGTGGTGTCGTGTGTGTTTGTGTGTCCAGTCCCGCGGCGCCGTATCGATAGCGCGTCGACGTCAGCGAGCGGGCGGCGCGTCGATAGCGGCGTTCGAGTCAGTGAGCGCGAGTCCAGCAGCAGCGAGTGAGTCAGCAGCAACCACCAGCGAGGTCGGCGAAGTCAGCAGCGCCACAGCGAGCGAGTGATCAGTGCAGCAAGCGAAGTCAGTCAGGCAGCAGCCAGCAGCGCAGCGGCGAGGCCAGCTCGCGTAACACATACATGTTACACTGATGGCTGGCGAGGTATGCACTCTCACGTGAGTGCCCTGCTGTCTAGATGAGTCATGGGACCTGAGAATCTCGTGAACACTAAGGACCCTCCCAGAGAAATAGCACATAAGACATATAACGCTCATCTTTTTTGCGCTGGTGTCACGGACCCCTGAGACCCAGTCCACGCGACCCCAAAGGGGTCAGATGGACACAGATTAGAAACCCTGCCAGTAAGAGCATAGAGATCTTTCAACAGCACCTGCCTGACATGCGGAGCGGCATAATCATGGTAGGAGCATGGTTTGAGATGGTGGTCTAGCGGTGAGAGCGCGGCGGTGCCGGACTGTTGGATGTGTCTGCACGATCGGTTTGGAATGGATTGGGTGTGCAGAATTGATTGTGTGTGGGTTCGATGATGTTTGTTGAACGCTGTGTAGATGGACGGGTTTGATGGATGCTGTGTTGATGCTATGGTGTGTGGATTTGCTGATTACTGGTATGTGGATAGGATTGGTGTTTAGCATGGATGGATGATGGACAGATGGTGTTGTGAATTACTGCGTCATATGCCATGGACAGTAATGGAGATACGTATGGTGCCATTGCCAGCGCAACGAATAAAGGCCCAAATAATCACATGATGACATCTGTGGTGTTTTATGATGATGGCGCATGTAGGGAATGCCATTATCTAAACAGAGTAGATAATAGGGCGATATGTACTTATCATTAATTAATCATTTATTATATCATCTATCATTATCATATCACTATTATATGCATTTCATCATTCATCAATATATAGTATGCCGCTATTATCTACTCCTGTCTAGTATAACAAACGATCCTCTAGCGCGCACTCATTGCTGCCGCCATCTGGCGTTGTGATGTAAATATACTCAGCGACCGGATAAGCGCCGCGCTTTAGGGTAGGGCGAGGACGCATTCCTCCGTTGGACAATGAACTGACATTTATATACTATATATATATATAATTATATATATTGTGTGTGTGTGTGTGCTGTGTGTGTGTGTGTGTGTGTGTGTGTGTGTGTGTGTGTGTGTGTGTGTGGTGGTGCTGTGTGTGCCCGACGCGTGGATATAGTATATTAGTAAAGTGTGCTGGCGTACCTGTGGCGTGATGTGAGTGAGTGAGGTGTGTATGTGGTGTGTGTGTGCGCGGCGTGTGTGTATAGTGTGTGTGCGCGGTGTGTGGCTGTATGTGTCGTCGTGCGCGCGGTGTTTGTATGTATGTTGTATAAGGCCTATTATGTAGTGTAATGCTTATGTATGTATAGTATCGTTATGATCTAATATAGTCGTGTGTCACCATGTACCACACCGCCTTCCATCTCGCAGGTTCCGACACACCCTGCCCGCCTTAACCACTGATCCGACAGACGTATCATGCCTGACTCTACCCGGCATCGTCTGCGCATCTGACGAACTCAGCTGTTCGGAATCTTGGGTGTCGCACAGACCAAGTACCGCCTTTCGTCCTTCCTGTCCACCCCGCGTTCCGCACACGGGACAGTTTGATATCCGTGACAAGTTACAGGTACTTGTTTCAACTGGCAACTAGCACTGACATCCAGGACGATAGCAAGGCTCCTGCGCTTTAAAAGCTCACTAGGCTATGTGGTGTATTGTGTGTGGGGTTGTGTGTGTGGTACTGGGGGTGTGGGTTGTTGGCCTTACTGCCCCAACGCTTCCAACACCATGTATCCATATCATGTCGCGTGCACAGGTCTAAATGAAGTACACGCTCAGAAGTACAACGCACCAAGTGGTCAAACTGAGGAGTAGGATCATCTCACCCTTTAGAAATGAAGGTGCAACATTAGAATTCTAGACTAACGGTCGCATGTCAACACAGTAGTTTTCACTATCGCACACGAAGAACCAGGCATACTTAGTTCTGCTATGATGCAGATCTTAATTGTCTATGTTTATATATGATACAGAAAGATATATATTGCCAGATGGATATCGTAGCCTGCCGATAAGTGCGTAATCATACCATCACCGGCAACCGTGCTTGCATACTCCGCTGGCAGCCGATCAGACGTCGACGGGTGGACGTCATCAATACGAGACCAAGAAGACGCATCCTCTTGCAACAGTTCGTTACGATGCCAAGGTCCAGGTTACAGGCCCCCTTGGCGGCTTAACGAGATCGTATCGATCATTCAGTAATCGATAATAGATAACGCAAATGTCGTCCATTTACACTAGCAAAGACGCCTGAACGTCGGCTGCTAACGTGTTTTTCAATATTCAATTGTTCAAGTTATCAATATGCGTAGTGTAATCGGTGGGGGGGTGGGGAGGGGGGTGGGGTAGTTTCTCGTTGGCATTCATTTCTAGACGGTTCTTCTCGTCGGTAACGGCTTCGGCCGTCTCCTTCCGTACAGGTCCGGATGAAAACGGCAGGTAGAGTGAAAGGCTTGCTTCACGCGGCTAAGACACTGCTGACCTACGATCAGCAAGAAAGGACGAGTTACGAGACTATATTATACTTATCTATTTATATATCTATTATAATTATCATCTATATATCATCATCTTTTGTTACCCAGCAAATATTGAACTGCTGGATCGCGCTCTTTCTTTCTTTCTCGCTCTCTTCTCTCTCTCTTTCTCTCTCGTCATTCTCTCTCTCTGTCTCTCGTCTCTCGTCCCTCTTCTCTCTCTCTCTGTCATGCTCTCGCGCGAGCGCACTCTCTCTCCTCTCTTTCCTTCCTCTCTCTTTCTCTCTCTCTCTCTCTCTCTCTACTTACGTAAAGCCAATGCGTTAATTAGGACGTGAAGACCAGATAGCCACACGGCGGCTGCAATCGGCCCGCGGCATTCATTATTAAATTAGAAAACGAATGATTTTTATTCGGAGAGTTAGAATTTTATTAGAAAATTTCAAAGATGTGATTACTCGTCTGCTCCAGCCTGACGAAACTGCACGCCTACACGGGCCAGAACATCACGCTGACGCTTCCCGATCCACTTACGAATATCTCTTGATTCGCACTACATCGTATAATAACCTGCATCGCATATACACGGAGGACTTGGACACGTCGTCATCCCCCCCACGTCAAAGTACGCGGCATCGTACCATCGTCATTGTATGCTACCAGCTTCACCACGCAGTAGCCAGTAACCATCGTCACTGGTGAGCCGGCGTCATACCGGTATGTAGAGCCAGCGTCATAACCATGCGTCACTGGTAGATTAAAGCCGGGCGTCATAGATACAGGCGTCGTCCATTGTTAAGTACCAGCGCGTCATAGCCATCGTGCATCTGTATCAACCCTTCGCCCCCCCCCACACACTCACACGCACACGCACACATGTGCACGAAGTCTCACGCTATGACGCACGAACGCACGGTCGCTGTCACGCAAGCACGCTCGCAAACAAACACGGACAGTACGTCGGATGTGAAACTGCGTAGTAGCTTAATTTAGTTTGCACGCAATTACGCCACACGACGTTGCACTAATATTCCTGCGATGTGCGTCACACGATTTAATATGCGCAACCTTATAAGTGCACGTCTTCGCATAGTGCTCGGGCAGTGCCGGTGCCTGCCCAGATGACAGGGTCGGCGGAAGTGATGACGTCAGCGCCATCTCTGGAGCGATTGAGAATGGCATTACGACGATAACCTTTGCGCGTCCTGCGCAAACCGGTATGATCTTAGTCAATACAACTCTTTCCTCCCTCCCTCTCTCTCTCTCTCCGCCTCTCCTTCTCTCCGCCTCTTCTTCTCTCCGTCCCCCTCTCTTTTCTTTCTTTCTCTCTCTCTCTCACTATCTCTTTCTATTTGTCTCACCGTCATGTTCGTACCCTTCTCTCTCTCTCTCTCTCCATCTCCGCTTCTATTTTTCTTACCCTTTTATCTTGCAATAATTTTAAGACTATTTGATTTAAACTAATAGTTCCTCCAAATCGGGTCACATAAAAGAGTGCGATTATTAACATATTCGGCATGTACCTAACAACAAATTACGATCATAGTCCCGACAGCGCGCTTGTGCCCGTAAACGCCTCCAATCTTCGACGTTCCTCGTTAAGCCGGGCTTATGTCGGTCTTGCGACGCGATGCGATTGCCTTGCGACTGATTTTTTGCGATTTTCTGCAACTGGTTGCAAGTCGCAGCGACGATCGCGTCGCAGAGAAAGTTTGACCTAAGCACCCCTGCGACTGCCAGCGACTGTTTGCGACTGGAAAATTGTCAGTCGCAACGCGATCGCAGCGAGTCGCACATGTTCTACTCTTTACGTTCGTTCAGGTGATCAGCTAGATCGGATGTACCACACGCTGGTTAGCGACAGAGGTCAGTACATCGTGTGGGGCGTCGGACCCATCAACGCCGACGGTGTCGTCGCCAAGCACAGCAAACGCACGCAAGGTACAGGGAGGTCTCCTCGCATTTACCGTGTTGCATGCGAATGGCGTTCGTTTTTACCCCGAGCGCAATATTTGGTCGCGGGACACTCTCTCACCTACCGCCAGTCCTGATTGCCTACTAACATGTAGATGTAGGATGTATTTAGTTACTATACCTCCACTAACATGTATATGTAGGAAGTGTTCAGTTACTATACCTCTACTAACGTTATATATAGAAAGTATATAGTTACTATACCTC